GGATGGAACAGCTCTGGCCAAAGCTGGGATGGTTTGCCAAGGACCCTTACCAGTGGCCCATTTGCCCTTTCAACAAACAGTCATTGTGTTATTGAGAACACACCATACACCAGGCACTATGCTAGGCACTCAGTAAATAAAGGGGAACAAAATAGACATGGTCTTTGACCACATAACATTTAGAGTCTAGTGAAGGAAGGAGACATTTATTGAGTGATAGGCAATAAATAAGCGTATAATTTTAATGAATACCATAAAGGACAAAAAGGAAAACGGACTTAAAGGGCTGGCTGCTTCAGATGAGACCACTAGGGAAGCTTTCTCCAAAGAGGTGATATGAAAGCTGAGACTGGAGGATGAGAAGAATCCAGCCATGCAGGGTGGAGGAAGAGCAAGGGAACAGCATGTGCCAAAGCCCAAGGCGGAAGAAAGCTCTGCCCATTGAGGAAGTGAAAGGAGGCTGGGTGATTGAAGTGTAGCAGGTGGATCTGGAATGGGAAGTGACTCAGGATGAAGCCAGAGAGGTAGGAGGCGAGCCCTGGAAGCTGGGGAATGCATCTGGATGTGATTCTAGGACTGAGTGTGAGTGTATATGCATGCACGCATGCACATGCTGGCAGGGTTTGGGGGTGATGACTAAAATAAAATGCACAGCCTAAAAGTTGAGAGTTATGTTTTATTTGGCAGACATTTCTAAGGACTCAAACCGGAGATAACAGCTTCTCAGATGGCTCTGAGGGACTGCTCTGAGGAGGTAGGGGAGGAGCCAGGATATACAGGAGTTTTTACAACAAAGACCAAGTGGCTGGAACGTCAAAGGATTACTGTTAATTAAAGAAAACCAGACATCTCAAGTTAAAGAATTTAGCACTTTTCTGTGCATGGGAAGGTACAAAGGTCTGGGCTCAGTAAAATCATTCCTTTGATTTGCACCTAGCTATCTAGGGCCAGTATCCTGTTCTTTCACATCCTGAGTTCCCTCAGGGGGCACCCCTGGGGGTGGCAGCAGAGGCCAGGCTGCCTGCTTGTCTGCATCCTGAGTTCCCTCCGCTCAGGGGATGATGGTAGCGGCTAATGACTTGGTGGCCACAGAATTCTTTGTTTACTGATATGGCTGGCAATATTTTTCGTTCACAGGGTCGGGGTGACCTGATCCTATTTCCATTTTTAAAATACCATTCCAGCTGCAGAGCAGAGGACAGACTGAAAGGGACAGGGTGGAAATGGAAGACCATTTATGGGCTTTAGCGGTGATCCAGGCTGAGATGGTGAGATAGGTGAGGCAATGATGGGGAAGAACAAAGGGATAGGGCAAAATGGAGATGGAATCAAAAGTAGTTCCCAAGAAGCAGTGGACAGCATAGATTCCAGAGCCAGGTGGTCAAGGCCCACTGTTCAGTGGGGCTGTGATTTCAGTTGAACTGCTTAACCTCTCTGTGCTTCAATTTCTTCTGAAAAGGAAACTAAAAGTAGCTTGGAGGATAAAGCTCTTAGACAGAACCTGGTACCCAGTAAAGATTATACATGGGGCAAGTTGTTTTATCCCTGCAAATGGTTTTGGAAAGCTCGAGGCTGACTTCGAGACCATGAAATTTTCTACGTTGAGCTTTGAGGAGCCCCTGGATTCTAGAGTGTGTGAAAATCAGACCTTTAGTACTCGTCAAAAGCCTTAAAATGTACATAACCTTGATTCAGCAGTTTCCCGTGAATCTATCCTGTGGAAATAGTCCAGGACCTGTGCAAAGATCTGATTATAAAGCTACCCACTGAAGCACTGTTCTAATGGTGAAATGCTGAAGGTTGCCTAGTTATCCAATTGTAGGACACTGAGTAAGTAAATTCTGCTCCATCCATATGAAGAGACATTCTGCAGCCTTTAAATGATGTAATAAAACATCTATTAATATGGAAATAATGTTCATGATATGTCATTAAGTAAAAAGAACCAGTAATAAAACCATATTACAATGCAATCTAATTTTTCAATATATGTATGCAATGGAAAAATGCAACAGTGGTTATCCTCTGGAGGTAACATTATAGGTTTGTTTAAATTCTCTTCTCTGAGAATTCTAACTTTACTGCAGTAAGCTTGTATTACTCCCCTTAAAGATCTTCCCCTCCCCACAAAGCAGACCTACATTTTCTGAAGTTCCTTGGCCAAAGCTGTAAAGGGCTGCTCAAGAGGAAGGACGATCACTGTTGCATCAGGACCTGGGCCCTTATCTGCTGTGGTCCCTTCAGGCCTTGTCTGTGGCTTCAGAGTCTGTCTCCAGGAGGAACTCTGGCCCCTTGTCACCCACCACTCACTCTCGAGCCAGGACATCCCAACACTACCCCAGAGGTATCGCTTCAGTCCATGACCAAGTCAGTCAGCCAAATACCGATTGTCCGCAGCATCATCCCAACGCTTTCTACCTCAAGAGGAGAGAGGTGAAGAACTAGCATTTTTATAGCACTTCTCAGTTTACAAAGAGCTTCAGTCCTGGCTAGGATCTAAGTGTGGCGACTCACATCTAGAAGGTGTAATTGCTTATTATCATTTTTTTTCTATTTGTATAGACCATTTGATTCTTTAAAACCACCCTGTGAAGGAGGCAGGATCAAGAGTTGAAAGTGTGCAGCTTAGAAACCAGGCTTCTTTGCTGTGAGGTCTTAGAACAATGGCTTAACCTCTCTGAGCCTTGTTTTCCACTATAACATAGGCTAATGATCCCACCTTATGAGCTTGCTGTGAGGAAGGGATAGGGACTGTAATGTGCCCAGCAAAGCATAGTAGATGCTCAATACATAGTGAGCATGCTATTACATCCATTTTATAGATAGGAATGTCAAGGCTCAGAATGGTGAAGTGACTTGCCCAAGGCTTCACAGCCCCAGAGCCCTGTGACCCGGCCCCCCATGACCCTCTCTGGCTCCTTACCTGCTCCCTCAGAGCCTCCTTTTCCTCCTTTCCCAAGCTCAGCCCCGCAGCGTGTGTTCTGGGCTCTGATTTCTCCCGGCCCGGTTTCCAGGCAGTTGTGGGCGGGCCTTATTTGCATGGTCTTCAGGCAGCTCTTGGCCAGCTCTCTGTCTCAGATTTTCCTCTTCTTCCTTCTGATGACTTTGGACTGTCTGCGCTCACCAGGGACAGCCGGGAAGCTTTGGTTTCATCTTCCTCCTGTGAGTCACTCTTGATTTTTCTCTAAGGAGGTCAAAGTCCACTCTATCTTTGCAGGCCTCTGTTCTGAACTGGCTTGGTCTCCTGCCATCATATCTGACTGCACCGCCTTGGCTCACAAAGAGCCTTGGGTTGACGGGCAGGCAGGGTGTCTCCGAAGCCACTTCTGCCCTGAAGCCCAGACAGATTCTTTCCTACTCTGACCCCTATAGCCAGAATGCAAAGGGAGCTTGCAGAATATTAATGAAAGGCAAATCATCCAATAGGGAAACAGTTACAGGAGAGTCATAAGCATCAAGAGTCTGGGTTCTCAATCAAGTCAGATTTTTGGGTCAGAGTCAAGTCCTCACTTAGAACCGAGACTCTACTTACTAGCATTGGAGACTTGAGCAAGTTCACTTCTCTAAGTATTGGGTTTTTTACCTGAAAATGAGCATAATCATTTTGCCTGCTTGATCTGCAGGTTACATGAGATAACCCATGCAGAGATCCTACACAGTGCCTGTATGAAGTAACATGCAGTAAACGTTAAGTGCAGCTATTATTTTGATCAGGCAAATCACAGAAAAAGAAATACAAATGGAATATATATGTAACTGTTCAACCTCACTTATAATTAGAGAAATTCAAATTTTAAAAAGGTACTGCCTTATTTTCCTATTAGACAAATAAACACTAAAATAACAGTAGCTAAAAGTACTATTATTAGTAAAAGTATTAATAGCAGTTTTCGATGTTTTATTAAATGCTCCTGATCTATGACAATGAATCCTGTCAGCACTCCAGGACACACTGTATGGAATACATTAAATCAATGACTTGTCCTTTCTCTTCCACGGATAAGGACTCAGAAGCTCAAAGCAAATAAGGGATTTATTTGCCCAAGAGCTCATGAGAAACAAGTTAAAGAGCTGGGATTGCAAGTCTGGCCCTGGAATCTCTGCCGTTGCCTCATCAGACCCCAAAAGTGTGTTCATATGACACATTTTTGTTCCCTCTCGAATTCTCTGTATTCATGGCCCTCTTCTTTTATTCCTTTAATGACTGTTGAAATGGGGTTTGGAGAATAAACAGAAATAAATGTTATCTGATTGTTGATGTAATCAAACCCCTAGTCCCTGATTTTGTTTAAACTTTTTATTTTAGAATAGGTGATACATTCATGTGTTCAGCACAGGAAAGGTTAAATTTGGCAAAGAAAATATTCTTCTTCTAGCTACCTGGTTTCCCTGAAAATTGGCTATTATACTGTCAGTTTCTTATGTGTCTTTCCAAAGATGCTTTATGAATACACAAACAAAACTCCTATGGCAAAACGTCTATGTATTCCTCTTCCTCCTTTTTACACAAATGTGCATATAGTATATATGGTTCTACACCTTGCTTTTTCCCTTAATGATATACCTGAGATATCATCTATATTAGTACATAAAGAGCTTTTTCAGTTTTTTTGTATCATTTTTCATTGAATGGCTCTACCATAAATTACTTAACCATTCCCCTATTGCTCTAATCCCTTCATTTTAAATATATAAATGTTGGATGGAAAAATAAATACCAAAATGATTGCAAGATTTAGATTAGCTTGGAATTGTCTGAAAAAAAAAGTTGTGTGCTTTGTGAAGTTGTAGGTTCCTAACAAAGATCTCTAAGTATTTTTCCTGTTTCTGAACAGGAGACAGAGAGACCCCTCAAGGCAGGCCCTGGTGGCCTGGAGGTCCCTCTCAGCCCTGGAATTCTCTGGTTTCTGGTATCACTTCTCATTAACTAAGGTTAGTGGGGATTCAAAGACACTGATTCAAAGGATCTGGTTTGTATTTGAGAGTTTAGAAGCCATGCTTTCTGGTTTGCCAAGTCACACAAACCATGGAGAAGTTTATACAGTATCCAAAAGATATACTTAATAGTGTGATTTATAATAGGAAATATATATTTGGCCTTCATTCTGTTCCTGGCACAGTTTTTCCTAAAACTCTTGGAATTTCCTAAGTGATGAGAACAATAAAGTTGTCTTTTTTATGTTGAGGGGGCTGTTATGTTAATACCCAAGGGTAACCTAAGGGTGGGGGCCGGTTGCCAGGGGAACCAACTGTGTGATTTAGGGGTTGGAACTTTCAGTCTGGTCCCAACACCTTCTCTCCTCCACCTCTTGGGAGGGGAGAGGGGCTAGAGATTGAGCCTGTGTAATGTGATTTAATCAACCATGCCTGTGTAATGAGGCCTTCATAAAAACCCAAAGGACAGGGTTCAGAGATTTCTGGATTGATGAATACATGATGTGTGGGAAAAGGGCGTGCTTGGAGACGGTATGCAGGCTCCACACCCCTCCCCACATCCCTGCCCTGTGCATCTTTTGCATCTGGCTGCTCATGTGTATCTTTCATAATATCCTTTATAATAAGCCGATAAATGTAAGTAAATGTTTCTCTGACTCCTGTGAGCTGCTCTAGCAAATTAATCAGACCCAAAGTGGGGGTCATGGGAACTTCTGATCTATAGCCAGTGGGTCAGAAGCACAGGTGACAACTTGGACTTTCAGTTGGTGTCTGAAGTGTATATGGAGGGGAGGCAGTCTTGTGGGACTGACCCATTAACCTGTGGGATCTGATGCTAACCCCAGGTAGGTAGTGTCAGAACTGAGTTGAATTGTACACCCAGCTGGTGTGGAAGAATTGCTTGGTGGCGTTAAAAAATACAGACAATCAGAATTAGTGTCACAGCGGGAATATGCCTTTATTTTTTGGTGAAGTGAGGATGCTCACTGCAGTTTTAGTTTTACCATAAATTATTGGGGGAAAAAAAAAGTAAGAGTCAAACTGTAGCACATCAGTTAAGTGGAAAACTACACAATCATTTAAAATGATCTTGCAGAAGAATTTTCACAGACTTGGGAAAATGGTCACAATATACTGTAAATAGAGGGGGGAATGCTTTACAAAAAGCTGTATGTAGTGTGCACCACATTTTGTAAAAAAGAAAAAATTATATATAAAGACTGAAAGGTCATGAGATAAAATGTCACAATGGCTATCTTTGGGTGGTAAGTTTACTAGCATTATCATTTTCTTATCTATATTTTCTAAACTTTCGTTAGTAAATATGTATTACTTTTACAATAGGAAAATTCACTAGGGAAGTAAGTTAAGTCTGAGTTTGCTGCAACCAGGGAATCCAGAACTTAAAAAGAAAAGCAAGGAGGGCATGTAAGAAATCAGTCAGGGCATTGCAGGCATTTAAATAAAAAGGAAATAAGCCATGGCCCTTTCCCGGATCACTAACTGTCTAGTGAACAAATGCATTATCATAGTGTCTCTGGGTGGTCAGGGTTAGGGAGTACTTTGCAAACAGTGGAAATTGTTCTGGGGAGATACCCAGGAGAGATAGTGAGGCATCTCAGGAATCTGAGAGTTGGAACTAATTTAGTTCATGCTTGGGAGGTGAGGTCAGTCAGCCAGAAAAGCACCTCGCCTAAACAGTACCTTGGAACCAGTTGAGTGAAGAGTCATGAGACTTCGTGGAGCCCAGCCACCGTCTGGAGTGGAGGCAGAGGGTGATACGAACCCATGTAGGGAGGAAAGGCAGCAGAAGGTAGTAGATGGGCAGTGGAGGATGGAGACAAGGCGGTGACCAGGCAGGTTTGGGCAGGTTTTGGTCAGGTGGTCAGTGTTTAGTGAGCCCCCACCCCGTCAAGGGCAGAGGGCAGCTCTCCCTGTGGGGCATCACACTGTTATCACTTGGAGCCTTGCCTAGGTCTGTCCAGAGGTTAGAACAGTCCCAGCAGCAGAGGCATCACTGGAAACTGATAGAAATGCAGAACCTGAGGCCCACTCTAGACCAACTGAGTTGCATTTTTACAAGACCACCAGGGGGGTTGAGAGACACACTGAAGTATGAGGAGGGCTAATTTAGGAGATTGCATTCATGCTCAGACTCATAAAGGTTTCGCAAGGACCTGACACAGGAAGAAGATATCTTAGACAGGGCGGGAAGACTCCCAGCCTGGGAATGGACATCTGCCCTGCATCCCTTTTTGCAGCATCTGAATTAGTTTTACAAAGTCACAATCCCTTACGCAAGACCCTTGAGGCCAGATGCGTTTCAGAATTCAGAATGTTTCATATTTTAGGAAGATAATCTGATGCATTTACTATATACTAGTGAGACCTGAGACAGCACCCTGTAATCAAATGCATTAATATTCTGTCATTTATTATAAAGATTGATACCCAAAAGAATAAGCACCATCAGGTCAGGTCAATTTTGGCACCAAATTTAATGAAAAAAAACTTTGTCTCCAGAGTGTGGGAATTTTAGGATCATGCATAAGGATTATGAACTATTTTATTATTTTATTGCTGAAAGTGTCAATTGAATTAGGTTAGAAACACTGATACGGTACTATTTCTTGGCCCTTGTTTACCTCAGACTTTTCAAGAACTACAAGGTCTAGATATTCTTTCAAATATAAAGTGGTTCACATTCTTCCTCTCATCAAGCAGTTCGCATCTGGCATTGCTATTCCCAATCTGCTCAAGGGGTTCTATGAGAAGTGATTGGATTTTACTGAAATTAAGAATTCATCCCAGCTAACATCAATGGGAAAGGTCAGAGCTAAGACTGGGTCCCAGGGCCTCCAGTTCCTGGTCCCACCGAGCTTTCCTCCTCTGCTTTCATCTGCTCTCCAGCAGCTTCTCCCTTCTCTATCTCCAGGCAGAGGATGGGCTCCAGCTGAGGACACAGGACAGTAGGCCTCCAGCATGTGCCACCTGTTGTGTTTACAAACACGAAAGTGCAATTGGACGGTTCTTTCTCCAGCTGGGCTGTGAATGAAGCATCTTTCAATCCCCCAGACTTGCAGCCACTTCAGGTGGCAGTAGTTGCCCCTCTGAAGGTCCCTGGTGTGCGCTGGGCCAGGCACAGCCAGGTGAGTCCTCACACTTGCTCTGAAGCTCTTCTCCAGGTGAGCCCTGCTGGGAAGACAGTGGCCAAGAGTTGGCAAGAGGCCATTTGTACAAGGAGGGTCCAGGGAGTTTCCAGGAAGCTCTCAGAGGCCTTCTCCAAATGCCGGGGAGAAGGCTCCTGGACCAAAGTCCAGCCCCGCTCTTGTCATGCTCAGCTGGCAGCGCTGGCAGAGTGACCCTCACTCGGAGCTTTTAGAGTTTTCAGGAAGTGCACTGTTTTGTAGCCTTTTATTCCTCTTATCTTTCCACATCATAAGATAGTCTTCTACAACCTTTTATTCAAAAGGAAAGTAGTCTTTTTTATCGTAAAAGTGATCAAAGAAATAGCAGATTTATGTATTTGCTTGTAGTATATGCATGAGATGTCTCTGCGAGGGTATACGAGACGCTGGTAACACAGGTTACCTCTGAAGGGAGCCAGATAGATGGCAGACGTGGATGGGAGGAGGACTATCATATAACTGGTTGTACTTTTTAAAAACATACTATTTTAAAGCTCTTTTTTGGGGGAGGGGGTAATTAAAGTTATTTATTTATTTATTTTTAATAGAGGTGCTGGGGATTGAACCCAGGACCTCGTGTGTGCTAAGCACATGCTCTACCACTGAGCTCTGCCCTCCTCGATTTGTACTCTTGATTGTGACTATGTGACGTGTTAACGATTTAAAAAATAAATACTGTTTAAAATGAAACTCCCAGTACCTCCTCCAAAAAATAAATAACTAAACCTAATTACCTTCCCTCTAAAAAAATTTTTTTAATTAAAAAAAAGGAAACTGCAAAAAAAAAATACAGAAAGGCATAGAGAATAGAAAATAAATTCATCTTTAAACAAATACTATAGAAAGGCACAAAGCAGAAAATAAATTCATCTCTAAACTCAAAACCCAAAGATAACACTGTTAACATTTTTGCTCTGTTCCTTTCAGACTTTTTTCCATGGATGTATAGACATATATGAGGACATATTTTTACCAGAATAGGATGAGTCTGTCTGGGGCTGTTTTGTCACCTGTGTTTTTCACTTAGGGTGAATCACAGACAACATTCCAATGCAGCCTTATTTTAAATGTCTGCAAGGTTATTAGTCATGTGACACGGTGGCCAGTTTCTGAAAGACTATTTCTGGATACACTGAGAGAGGTCAGCATCTGGACACAGTGCTAGCTGGCACCAATCCCCATAACCCCAAATCTGGGCTTTTCAGTTTGCTGTGTGCAGGAGCTTGACTAAGTGGGATGTTGTGTCCCAGACCTGGGGAGATAACATCTGGGGATGGACTGGATTCTCCTCCTGTTTAACCTGTGTCACTTAATCCACAGGTGCAGATATCTCCTTACCTGCCTCCCTTCAGTCTCTGTGCCCACCAGACCACTGAAAGTAGAGGGCCTTGATGGGAAGAGCTGGTCGGTCTGTGCATCCCAAGGCCTGGGCTCCCCTCTGTGCTTGGTCTCATGCTGTGTGCTCTTTGCAAGTCGCTTTCCTTCTCTGCACAACGAAATAAACACTGCCTACCTCACAGTGTTATTTTATTGGACAATTCAGGTGAAATTATGATTGTGAAAGTAGTTTGTAAAGTGTAGAGCTCTGTATACATACAAGGCTTTGTTGTTAATTTCTGGCTTCC